GTCTGCTCCCGGCCTGTCACTCGGTAGCTTCGCTAGTGCTTTGTCTTTCATCACTCACATTTTGAAGTGGTACCTCACACAAAGAAATGAAGTGTTAAAGGAAGTGAAATGCACACTGAATTTCTTTACTACAGAAATAGATTCACGCATACAAACAAACAAAAACATAAGCAGATGTGCACACATGCTTGCAGGCATATGCACCAATTTACAGTACAAATGCATGCAGGTCTTTCAGCCCGTCTCCTGTAATAAGCAGCTCCTAACTATTTTCCCTCCAGCAGCTGCTGGAGGCAGACACCCGGGGTGTTATGCTCTCAAAGCTCTGTCCATGGTCCTGAAAAAGCTACCACATCATTACTCCTCTGTGGCACCTATAACTCCACTGGAGGGTATGAATGCAGTTGTAAGTGGCAGTGACATTTCATGCAGTCATGTAAGGTAAGAGAGAAAACAAAAAACACACATAAAACAAGCAACAGAGTTGGTTATATTGTTTTCTTCTGTAGCAGTTTGAGTGGGCTGTACAGTTGGAGTTGGAGCTTTGAGGCACAATTGAAGCCAAATGATACAATATATGTAATCTAATTCAGTAACCTATATCTATTGCACAGTATAATTCATAGTTTGTGTGTCTGCAGAAGCACTTTCTACACTGCAGCAAGTAGAGAGTAGCAGAGGTCAGAATCCAGGGTCCCCACCAATGCCTGCTTCTGATTCTAGAGCCCTAGAAAGGCAATTAGACTTTCATCTTTCCTGTGCCAAACTATGATAGACACCCAGGCATGTGAATACACACACACACACACACACACACACACACACTGTGTAGACTACAACACACATACACAAACATGTACACAAAAATGTCCATCCATGGGATCATGCACAGCTACACATATGAGTTTAATAAGCTTGAATTAATTTGTGCCAGAACAAGTTGGATCTGGATCCTGCACCGCTCAAACTGTCATTTACATACAGTATAAAACAAAAGGGCTATATGAAAAATATAGGCTATAAAGACCAAAGATCTTTTGTTTAACTTGCCTTGTACAACAGCATATTAAACTAAAATTAAAATTATTAAATGCATATAAATGTAATTGTAA